GTCCCCCTGGTCCTTTTTCCCCCCGAAGTTTTGTGTTTTTTTTTTTTTTTTTTTTTTAAGCTTTATCCACTAGGTCTGCCATTTAGTGATCTAGTACATCATGGACTTAAGTCAATAGGAGAGTAACAGCTGCTGGCGGGTGGTGGTTTGCTGTGATGGTCACACTAGGGGATGTCCATAAAGTACTTGTTCCCATTCTCCAGTCACAACTTTGCCTGCTGAATAACTGGACCCCAATCTGACACTCTGCATGAACAGACTAAGGTCTCCCTTCTCAGTTCTCCTCCTGCCACTTTCCAGTGGCAGGACCTTCCCAGCCCCCTACTGGCAGTAGCCAGAAAGCAACCTATGTGGTCCCTGAAGGGCTGGGCTTGGCATCCTCTGTTCCACCCCACAAATACCACAGGAGAGGGATAAAACCTGTGCCTTCCCTATCGGGCAAGGCCAGAAAGGGTCCATCCATCTAACCCAGACCAGTCCAGTGAACCTGGGCTAATGCAGTTAGCATTTGGAGTGGAAGTACGCCCTGTAAATTACATATAAATTCCATTTTGCTCACTGTATGAGGAACTCCAGAATTTGCTATGAACAAACAGCCCCTAAAGTGCTTAACAGGCAGCCCAGCCTACCTCTGCCCTTTACTCAGGCCCAAGGAAATCCCTTCTGGGGCTGAGCCCAGCATCCTGCTCTAAGGACCCTTTTCTGACTTGGTCTGTCCCCCACAGAAGCAGAGACACCTCTAAAACAGTTTTGAAAGGTAAGGACAGTTGGACAGGTGAGGGAGTGGGAGCTAGAAGTGTCTGCGAAGAGTAGCAGGTTGCCTGGCCCTTAGCCTGCAAGTCGACTTCCCAACGGACATGTGGGCTGGGGCCTGGAGACAATGTGTATGTGTGGCAGGGAGGTGGGGGCTATGGGCAGAGAAGCCTCCAGCAGAGGTGGGTGGGCTGGGCCAAGAGCCCTGGCTTGAGCGGGCTCACGTGCTCCAGGAAGCAGGCGCCCAGCTCGCTCAGGTGGGGTTGCTCCCTGTTGAACTTCTGCTCCAGCGCCTTTACGAAGGCCTTCTGGCATCGGTAGATGTCCTCTATGTTTCCGAAGATGGTGTGCAGCTGCTCCTCGCTGAACATGTCTGCACGCTTGCGACACTGCCTGATGTAGCCCTGGGAACAGGGGTGGGGCGGTCAGGTCACCTTTGGACCCCACCTCATCCCCCACAGCACAGCGGGACTCACCTCACAGATGTCACGCAGGTGCTTGATGTAGTCCTGCTCGGTGCTGAGGATCTCATTGATGACGTTGGTGCGCATCTGGTCCCTGCTGCTCTGTGCCTTGGCACCACCGCCCTCGGCTCCACCATCCCCAGCCTGCAGTGCTTCGTAGTCCTCGGGCTCGTCCTGGTTCACCCGCAGCTGCAGGCAACACTGCTGGTCAGCGCCCTGCATCCCTGTGGTGGCGAGTGGCGCGAGGAACTGGGGTTCGGAGATCCCAAAAGGTGCACTGAAACTCCCCTCCACCCACCCTTGAACAACACTCATCTGGACATAGGGACAACAGGTCTGACTGCCGCTGTCAGTGTCATCTGAGATCACCCCTGCCTCATCTGAGGGTGCTCTGCTCTCTCTCCCCACCCTGCTTGTGCTGGGCACAGTACTTGGAATAGTGGATACTCACTGTAGTTTCTGAATCCCTGCCTGTTCGTACTGGGCTCTCTATGGGCCATGAAGAAAGTGGACTGGACTGTGATGTGGCCTTGATGGCTCTCTGATCCATAACTAGAAAAGGCTTGGGGTACAGAGCCGGAGTTGGTCTAGGGAATTTGGGAAGGAGAAACAACAGAACCCCAGAACCTGGGCTCTCTCCTTTCCACTGCTCTCTGCCTGGCCTTTTGGAGTCTGCACCTGGATTCCTTCTTTGGAATCCAAAAGCCCCCTTAGGTAGGACCTGGGTCCTCTTCCTGTGATCTCTTGGGCTAAGGATTTGTCGATGCCTTAGTTTCCTCAGGTGTAAGTGAGGTTCCCAGGGCTGTTGCAACTTATAACTAAGGACTCAGGTGTATGTTCTGCACAGAGCTTAGTAAAGGCCTGGTAAACCGAATCTGTGGTGGTGTTGTGACATGCAGGTTTCCCTTAGAGGGATCCACATACCTTCATTCCTGACCCATTTCTCTCTGGCTTTTGAGGGCCCCCTGGAGGGCAGGGTGGGAGCAGGGGTTGGTGTTGGTTCTACAGGAGGAAGAAGGCTGTGTCACAACTCCCTGTGCTGGTCTTCCTGACACCCACCTGCCCAGCTAACAGCCTGCAGTCCCTGCACAGTCATGAGTGGGAGGTCCATGCCCAGCACCTCGGGCCCAGAGCTTGCATTTCTGAGCAGGCTTGCATTTCTGAGCAGAGCCAGTTGGCTCTCTATGGGCCAGGGAGAAGCTCAGGCAGGTGCCATACCCGCACAAAGTTGGCTGGAAACCAGCCCTCGCCATCAGCGACACGGCCCCACCACCACTCTCTGTTGGTGGCATCCATTACTTCGATGACTTCCCCAGCTTTGAATCCCAGTTCCTGGTCATCCATGGTGACGTGGTCCCAGAGTGCTTCGGCACAGACCACACTGCCATCACTGATGAGCTGTGGAAAGAGGCATGGACAGGCAGGTCAGTGGAGTAAGGCTGCCTGCCATGGACCTCCTCATGGGTCAGGGCACTCCTACCCTTTCCCCTCGCCCTCAGCAGCCCTGGGAAGAGGGGATCCTGACTCATGTTGCAGAGGAGAAGACAGAGGCTTCCTCTGAGCCAGCTGCTTTTCCAGAAACAGGATTATGCCCTGGGCATGTCTAGACTGGCAGGGCTCATGATGAAGCTGAAGTGAACTTGACCACTAGAATCTTAGTGAGACACAGAATCTGAGGGTCAAGCATGTTACTTGCTCCCCTGTATAGTGCACACCTTCCTTCCATCCCCATTGGGCTAGTGATGAAACTATTGCCTCTCAGCTTTACCCATCATTTCTGCTCTGCTCTATGATACTGGGGCTAGGGCACTGCAAGCTGAATTTCTGCTGTGCCAGCTGCTCCCTGTTAGAGTCTCCCAATGTGGTATTAGAGGGTACCACAAAGCTGGAGGAAGAAGGGGCTTGCCCCTTTCTGCTGGCTTCTTGTAGACTTCCAGTACCTTTGAGGTTACCTGACAAGCAATAATGCTACTTCACCCAGGTGTGATGGTGCCCAGCCAATGCAGTAGCTGGATCCGGTTTGCAGATTTTTGAACACTTGCAGAACTAGTTTCATGGCATCCCACTTCCCCTACAATCAGCACCAGCCAAGCAGCACCCCTCCTCAGAATTCTAGGTACCAAGCCCACAGGATTCTCAGTTCTAATTATTCCAACCCCTTCCTTTATTCCCTAGTTCTGGGAGAGGTAGGTACATCTTGCAATTGCTACCTCTGTAATACATACCTCTGGATTGTTTTTGTGCACTTGGCTACCAAGTCAACCACTTTATATCTGGCTAACAACCTTTATATTAATTTCTCTCTGCTAAAATAACTGGCATGGATCTGTCCTCCTGCGTGGTCATGGACCTCACACCACGTCCCTGAGAGGGAGAGAGACTGCACCCTCCCAGACAGCCCTTGTGCTTCCAGATCCATTTACCATTGGGCTGACACCTGCTTTCCTGGAATGTGGGCTCAGCTTCTGCTCCTCGAATGATGATGGCTCTGGGGGTTTAGGGCAAGATGGGGGTGGGCTGAGAAGACTGCATGGGAGCTGAAGTCCATATCCCTCTCTGCTGGGACCAAGTGTGACCCTGATTGTCACAGCTATGGGCTGGCTCTTTGGCTAAGCAGTTCAGGCCTTGGGCATCACCAGACAGGCCCTCTGAGCTTCCTACCCTGCCCCCACAGGGGTGTTTACTCCCTTGACTTCAGGCCCAGTGGGGCCTTCCCTGAGTGCTTTCAGGCAGTGTGCATGCTCACCCTCACATCAAAATGAAACGCAAAAAGGGCTGAACAGGACTGGCTGGGTGAGTTCCAGTCTGTCTCACACCTGTTAGCTGTCTAACAGTGTCCACCATGCCTTGACTGGGCAAGACGAGGGGTGGTGGGTGGGTTGACTGGGCACAAGAACCCACTTAGACTGGGCCTTTTCTCCAGATAGAGCCTGAGCAAGCCCATTCAGAAACCATCAGTTCTTTATGCTTTCTGGGGGAAAGGGGCGGTAAAATCTCCAACCCTGATGAAACCACTCTTCAGAATAATTTACAGCCTAGTGTACACCTACTCTCACATGCAGCAGGTACTTAGGGGCTGCAGAGTCCTGAGGGACCCTGGGCACAGAGCATTGGGCTGGCTATTCCTGGAGGGCTGAAAGTCTCAAGGGACCACTGCAACAATCCAGCTAAAAAGACCTACTACAGGCACATCCTCTTCTGCAGAGATGCCTGACCCCAGGATCATGAGCTGGCTCCAATGAAGACAAGGTGAGACAAAAGGATTCAGCGGGCCACATGAGAGGAGCCAGGCTGCTACATGTAGGGAGCAGACACTCAACAGGCCAAGCCGCAGTGCACACTACACACAAGCAGGCCATGACACCCGGCCTTGAGGGTCTGGCCTGAGGACAAGAAAGAAGCAGAGTACTCAAAGGTGGTCTGGGTGAGCCGATAAGAGTCTGGGCAGCAGTGACCATGGGTGAGTGTGAGCGTCAGAACAGAGTGTGTGTGTGACCACAAGTGACTAAAGCATCAGGACACAAGGCATGTGTGACCATGAGTAAGTGAGTATCAGGAAAGGGGGTGCGTGTGACCATGGGTTAGCATGAGCATCAGGACCAAGGGCATGTGTGACCTCAGGCAAGTATGTGAATCAGGAAGATTTGTATGTTTGGAGTAATTAGTTACCCAGACAATGGAAGGATTCATTCTTGGAGCTTCTTGGGTAAACTGAAGTTTGGATCCAGCAGGAAATAAAACTTAATGTTTAAGCTTTGTAGTTTTGCTCCTAGAGAGATGTAGGTGCTCTAAGACTCCCTTTTGACATGCATTTGCCAGCACACATCCAGCTTACTATTGTATGCTGCTACACTTTGATCTCCTGAGAACAGGTTGTGGATTCTGTCCACCCTCAGTTCACAACAGCTGCACACACAAGTCCCTAGGACAGCATGGGAGGCTGCCTTCATTGCTAGAGCAGACGCAGGAGAAAGTAACCCAGCTGTGCAACTGTTTCCTGTTCCCACACAACCCAGCTGTGCAACTGTTTCCTGTTCCAGGTTGTTCCCACCTGATATTAATCAGATCTACCCCTGTCCCAGCTTCCCTCAAGTAAGCCCTGAGCTAAAGTCTCTCTTAAATGGTCTGGTGCCTCCTACCCCAGCTTTATTCTGCCAGCCCTTGCAGAGAGATGCCATCCTACACAGATGGTTTCCTGCATAGCTGTGGGGAAGGGCACAGGTATGGGACAGAGACAGGGCTTCCCAGAGACCAAAGTTCCCTTCACCTTTATGGACAGGCCCCCATACCTGCCCTGTCCAGTCATCTGGAAGCCACTGGTGGTGATGGGGAGGGGTCAGTCGCTTTTGTCACTTCCTTGTCTCAGTACCTTGCCAGTGCAAGAGGCACTTGATAGACACACAGCTAAAAGCAACTCCCTTGATATTCCAGTACCTTAGTCCCCATCAAGGCCCACAGTAAAAATGTGCTCCAGCTAAGTGAAAAAGCTCTTGTATAGATCCACAAATGGGAAGCAGTCTGATGAGTTACAGCAATGACATTAATCATTTATGTGATATCACCAAAACAATGTAGTTCCACGGGGTTAGAGGTGCATTCTATCTCAAGGACAGCCCAGATACCCCCAGGGCCCACACTGAGCAGGTTTCTGGGCAAAGGCCCTTCAAGGCCCGCTCTGTCCAAGGTGCAGCTGCATGGAAGCAAAGACTCAACCCCAGCAGGCCAAGAGGTGAGGGTTATGGCTTGCTCTTGGCAGTGGGGAGAAGCTGGCTTTGAGGTATGGGGTGTTTATGTGGGGACAGGTGGGAGACTCTCCCAGTGGAAGAGCAAGTTCAAGACCAAAATAAGCCAGGGGCAGGTTACAGGGACCCCTCCTGTGCCCCTGAGATTTTGAGAGGTCGGGAGAAACCAGGCTCTGCCTCAAAGTGCCCCCTGATGACCACACACCACCCTTCCCACCCTGCTTCCCTTCTCTCTCACACATGCAGGATGGTGGAAGATTCCAACTGACAGTCTAGGAACTCAACTCCCTAAGCCCTTCCACAGCCAGCGCTGGGGGCTGTTCAGAGCGCACACTACAAGGCGGGGCTCTGCCTGTAGTGGGGACATGCTAACTGAGACCACTTAGAGTTAAGACCTAAAGTGGGAAAAGGAGGTAATATGTGCAGGGGAACCTGCTCCTCTTCCACACACATGTCCAGTTCCACTCACACGGTAGTCACATGCGCAGTTCCCAGACAACCACAGCAGCACAGGCCACAGCTGCTACCCACAGAGATGCGCCATTTTAGTCTGTTTCTGTTTCTCTCTGTTTCTCTCTCTCTCTCTCTCT